GAATGTTGATGATTTATGTAATTTTAAAATTCATGTTGATGACACAAGATGCCTCTCACCGTTCGTTCCTTGACCATGACAAAGTTCCTCTAAGAGAGTTCAGTTGTTGGGAGGATGATATTTTTTTTCTAAGAAAAGTAAGTTTCCTTTTTAGGTTGATGATAACGGGAGGAATAGTTTTCTCGAGCATCCAATCTTCTATGGTGGTATACTTTTCTTTAGAATGATATATAAATAGAATGCCACACATTTTCGTGTCTATTTCATCACCTCCACCCTATGTCGTCTCCCCTCCCATCCACTTCCTTGTCGTTCTCACTAATCTATTTAGAAAGGAAAACAAATTTATAGTTGTATTCTTCACTAAAAAAAACATTATCATTAGGAAAATTTGTTAGAAATTACCTTTTATATTGACCATTTTATGAGAAATAACCTTTTAAAAATTACGACACTTTAAAATCTTAAAAAACTTTCTTTTGACTATACCTTTGCTCAGATTATGCTATTGACTCTTTTTTCTAGCCAAAACTCCCATGTGAGTGGCACATGAATTTCCCATGTTTCTTTCCCAACCACCATGTTCACCACCTCGATCATGTCCTACCTTCATTCGAAGGTCATTCCACCACCAGCTCATCAGGCCCTAAAAATGGTGTACGCATACAAAAGTCATACATATTGTAGATAAATAACCTTCCCAAACAACACATGTAATTGTCCAACATTGATAAACGAAAAGAGTTAATAATCTATATAGTTAAAAGGTGGTTTCTTCTATCGTCATATGGTTTTGGAATTGAACCTCCTTGGACTTAACACATATCTTGTGTAGATAGAATAATAACAGTTGAAAACATTTTTTAACCCTTTTTAACCAAAGCATAAATACTTACATAAACCACTTAACGTAAGGTTCTAGGCTTCTTGCACTATTATGAAGTGCAAACGCGGGGTGTAGTTTGAATGTAAAGAACTAAAAGAAGTATGGGTGTATTGTATCGGAGTGTTGCCGTTTTCAAAAAAGGTAAGTTGGAATGTTGATGGATCTTCTAATAATGGAAGCCCAGGCCAGAGGTGTAGTGATTTTTATTTTATTTATTTTAATTTTTTATGCGTGATAAGGAAAAAAGGCCCTTCCGGGGAATGTAAGGGAAATTCCTTTTGGAATGTGGTTGATGAGATTCGACTCCAGCCTCAGGTCTGAAAGTCGGAGACTAGCTAACCATTCTAGCCTCCTATCTCATTGATTGTTGCCTTGTTGGTATACTAAGAAATAAAGGTGTAACTACTATTGTACATTTTCTATACTAGTCAGGATGATAAATTGCGACTAGACAGAGTTATCGAACTATATTGTACATTTTTTATTTATTTTTTAGTTTAGCTGGCATTATTTTTTTGACGGAATTGAAGTTTATCTAGTATTATTGATTTATCGAAGAATATGGTTCATTGGTATAAGAAGCACACGAGATCGCAATAGTTATCGAACTTCAAATACAATCACATGAATAAGATGAAAATTATCCTTGCAGCCACAAAATCAATAGATTGCCGTTTTGAAAATGTGTTTTTCATTAAAATGTGCAAGAGATATCCCTTAGTGTAACATTTTCTCAATAATTGTAGTAAATTTTTTTCCCACAAGGATTGAGTTTTACTTCCAATAAAAAAAAAAGCGAATGAATAGTGATCTTTCCTAATTAAAAGGGAACAAAATAGTTATTTTTTTCTTTTTAAATGTTGTTTATTAGTTCATAAACTACATTCTTATTTGTTTCTATTATTTCCTCTATCTCAATTTAGTGTACTCACTTGTCAGAGCATGCATGTAGTTTTAAGGTGTATTTTGGTGTTTAGTATCAAACACTATATGAATAGTTGGATACCTTTTTAAGTAAATGAAAGAGAATGTGAGAGTCTAACTTTTAGTAGTGGAAAGAGAGAAATATCTATAAAATAGTGGTCCTTGCCAAAAATAGAAAGGGCAAACTAAACGGGAGTATATATAAAAAGAACATGGTTATTTTGTAGAAATTTACGATCCTGTTACAATTACTTCGTATAATTTTGGTAGTTAGGTGATACAAAAAGACAATGGTTATTTTGAAGGTTTTTGTAAAAGTAAAATCAATTAATTAATAAAAGATTTACTTGTATATGACATTTACAATAAAAATCAATACTAATAAACAATACGAAACAATTTGGGTCAAATAATATTCTTACTTAATAAATTGTAGATGAGATGAGATATGAGATTGATGCATACCCCTTACATTGTTATTTGATGGAAATTTTCACGAGGAGGTATTCTTATTTGATCCATTGTAATTTTTAAATTGAACAAATTTTGATTTAATTGATTGTCAACATAGATAGAGCTAACATATATATGTTGCAACACCTCACAAACTTTCATCAACAACAAACCAACTTTCCAATATATAATTTTGTCACACACATTATGAGAATACAATTTCTTTTGCTGATTTCACAAGAAGGTGTGCCAAAATCTGCTTCTCAATTTATCTCGTTGGTGATGATATCCTTGAAGTAGAAGCTACTTTACTTTAACCTAGGTTAAACAAATTTCAATTCTAGCAAAAAAAAATTGCTTTTTTTTTTTTTAGTGCAAATTTTTTCATCAAACTAGGGTTATACATCCACCCTAATACTTTATCCTACTAAGGCCGTTTCCACTTTATCTTATTTTTGCTAAGCTGAAATTATTTTTACTAAATTGAAATTATTTTTGTAGAACTTAAAATTATTTTTACTAAACTGAAATTAATTTTACTGAACTGAAATTATTTTTATTGAACTGAAATTGTTTTTGTTGAACTGAAATTATTTTTACTGGTTCCCTATTATATTTCTTCTTTAAAGTTACTGAATTTTTACCGAAATGAAATTATTTTAACTGAATCGAAATTGTATTTAAAGAATAGAACTTAATTATTTTCACTGAACTGAAATTATTTTTGTTGCACTGAAATTATTTTTGCTGAACTGAAATTATTTTTTACTGAATATTATTTTTGTAAGGTGAAGTGATAGGGCCTAATACACAATTAAAAAAATAAATTATTTTATACTAATTATAAAAATTATTTTTACTGAAATAATATTTCTTTCAAAAAAAAAAAAAAAAACCTAAAATAATATTTGCACAATCACATCCATCATCAATTATCATGGCACATTTACATGTAGCCATAACAAGACCATCTTAAATTTTATCATCAATTATAAAGGTAAAATAAAGAAAAATAAAAGGTAAAAGGCAGTAACTGGCAGAGAAAGGCAAGAAATAAGTTCATCAGATTGAAAGAATATAAGATTAACATCCATTTACACTTTCAAAATTCTGGCCACTTGTATTACCAAACACACCCAAAAATCATCCCTTTTTTTTTTGTGTGTCAGAACCAGAGAAGCACATGAGCATCAATAAGCCTTATGATTAAGCTAGCATAGGAGTATATATTCATGGTATATTATTTAATTTTTAATTAATGGCATATAGAATCTTCAACTCTTCTTAAGATTTTTTTTTGTTCGACAAATTCCATGTTACAAGATTTTGGTTTCCCATGATTTTTTTAACTATTTTTGACATAAAGGGTTAATGTTAAACAACACCAAACGTAGCTAAACATTGTTTTTAACTTTCTTGCAACTTGTTATTTATGCAACTTTCGTGTAAGGAAATATAATATATGCCAATGTAATTACAACATTGCCCTATAGCTTTAGGTCTATTAGTAATTGGAAATATATTTGGCCAAGAAAATAAAGAGATTCAAAATTGTAGTCTAAATAATCTTTATGTTGTACGCATCCTCTGCATAAAAAGTGTTGAGAATCTAGTCAAGGTAAGCATCTTTAGGTTTGCTATTTCATTTAATTTTATGTACTTGTATTTTTAAATTGAAAGGACTTATCAAAATACCTGAATTATTAAAGTTAGACTGGTTTATTTTTTGTGTCTTATTGTCTTGCTCCTCGCCCCTATTACTCCAACCAGTTGTTGTAAAAGCTTACCTTTTAGGTATCTTGCACCACCTCGATTGATGTTGATCGAGTCGAAGTGGACTCGATAGTAGCCCAACTTCTTTCGAGTCGCTTTCTTATTTCAAGAAGGAGAGAGCTTATATTAATGAGACATATCGTATAAAGTATAGGGCTTTCATAATAATTTGAATTTGTAGTAAACAAAACCTCTATCTAACCAGGAAGTGTAGAAGAATAAACCTCTCAATTATCATCACCACATGTAAGTGTCCCACGTTGGTTGAAGAAGAGAGAGTTAATCACTTTATAAGGCTAAGGGACTACTCCTTCTATTGGCATATGGTTTTGGGATGAAACCTCCTTTACACTTGTGAAGTTGACTATCTCTTTTGATTTGCAGGTGCAGCTTAAACTCGTATTTGACAGGAAAGGTATGAAATACGAAGTATATAATAATAACATTGGAATGTGTCAAAGAGACAAATCTTGTCATGCATTACCAAATATAAATTGGAAACTTTGAACTAATTTATTATATATTCTAGGTAGCTTTGGACACCCTTATTTAACGGCTTCCGAAACTTTGCTAATTCTCCTATCTACTCATGTCAGTGCAACATTTTGCATTCTTTGATCCTATTTGTGTCCACTGTTCAGAGTTAATTATAGTCACGTTAGTAGTTTATATTACACTATTAGCAGTACAAACCATTAAGTCCGAATGAAGGGATAACTATTAAAAACTAAAACGGGATCCATCTACGAGGTGTCTAGCTACCATCACCAACCTTACTTCAATCTAGCTACTAAAAAAACCATCCATAGAGAAAACTATAACAACAGCTTTACAGAAGGCAGATTCTTATTTTCTCAATTTAGTACCTCATGATTAGCATCCAAAAAGAATTGCCCTCATGATTAGCTAACTTGGCCAATTTACACAATCTTTTTTCTTTTCTTTTTTTTTTTCTCTTTTACTTTTTTGGGACAATTTGTTTCATTTAACCACTTGTATTATAGGGTTATATTCAGTGACTCAAAACAAAAAAAACTTTATATTTTTGTGGCACCCCTTGATTGACTATAAAGCAAGTGACAACAATCTTCATTAATTAGATAAAACATTGCACTCAATAATTTACCAAAGTCATACAACTTAAGGATTAGGGTAATTAAGATAACATAATTAAGCTTAAGAAACATCATTAGTTAGCCATCATTTTAAAATTAATTTATTTAACAAAAGTCAGAGAATTTCATTTCAAAATGACCTTTCCTTGTTTTCATGATCACCCTAGAAACCCAAAAAATAAAAAAATAAAAAAAAAAAAAAATATTGTCAACCACATCCTTCTCAAATGGTATAAAGTCGGTAATATAAATATGTGGTCAGATGTAGCGGTCCATTTTTCATTATTTTCATTTTTATCATCAACCCCTTCAAAAACCTAAGCAAAGTTATTTCCCTTTTAAAAGAGGAAAAAACCTGAGCTTATATCACTTGTAACACAAGCTTATATTATTACTAAGAACAAAATAGAGAAAATAAATACAAACTATTTTTTGTCATAAATATTATGGCTGAAGAATATTGTGGAGGAGCAAATTGGTGGGATTCAACTACATCAACTAATAGAAGTAGATTCGACGGTGGTAGTGGTGGCGGTGGCCGCTCCTCTTCTACTTCCTCTACTACGACGCTTGCTAATAGCGGTGGTGGAGCTGGTTACGGGTGGTTAACCGATGGACCGACGGCGGTGGACACTAAGTTGGATGCTTCTTCGCTTCAGCTCGTGGGGCTTGGTTTGTCCTCTCAAGCCATGGCAGAGTGGAACCAACAACAAACAGCTATACTGTAAGTAGTAATACAATTATTTTTACTCACACCAAAAAAAATAACATCATGATATATATAATGAAATTCTCGTCCTCAGTTACATAGACTAAATCCCGAAAATTAAGGAAAATCGTATATAGTACGGTAAACACTAAGTGGAGTCACTTCAAGAATTTTCAAACTTTGTAATTATACATTTGAATTGATTTTTGTCATTTTGTTTTTCTTTTGACATAGAAGGAATCCGGAGAAAGCCGAGAATAGCTTTAGGTCCATGCTACAAGAGGGCATGGGCCTAACCGCGAACTTCCAGCAAGACGCGAGTGGTGGTGGAGGAGGAGGAGGAGGAGGAGGAGGCGGAGTCATGTTCGGTGGTAGTAATTCACCACAGTTACATCAATGGAGACCAGACAAACTATTTCCGAGTAGTGAAGATTCGAGCACGGATTTTAAACAAATAGGGCGCGGATTTTCCTTAGATAACCAACCACAGTTTTCACCTAATGGTAGCTCAATTGAAAGCACGGTTACTTGCCAAGGGCTAACCGCGCCTTCTACCTTTCAACTCGATACTTCTTCTACTAGCTCCGTCTTTGGTAGCCCCTCGAGTATCTTGCAAGGTCTTATGGGGACTGAGCAACATAATCAACAGCAACATACACAACAACAACAATTAAATACGACGAATTATCAACCTAATTATTTTGGTATGGGTAGTGTTACGAGTAATGATCATCATCAACAACAGTCGCAATTGCCTTCTTCTTGGGCGAAAGTGCCTCAGTTCCTTAGAGCTTCTTCTCCTAAGCAGCAACAGCCGCAACAACAACAACAGCAACAGCAACAACAACAACTTCATTTCATCAACAACGCACCGTATTGGAGTGCTTCAGCTCCGTTAACTGATGTTAGGCCGAATTTCTTTTCATCGTTGCAAGGTGCTCAATTGCCTAACATGCCAACATTTGAAGAGAAACCAAAGGTAATTAAAATGATACTTCACCTTATTAACTAGGGTTTCGATGATTTAAGGTAAATTTAGTTAATAGAATAATGTTTCCTTCAACTAAAACTACCTTATTAACATTTGGCGGCAGTAATAAGTTAATATTGTCTTCGAAAAACCATCGTCCAGTCATTTTTAATATTAGTATATATGGAGTATGCTAGCTTTTTTTTTGCTTACTTTATTTATATTACGACTTGGTAGACTACAATGGAGGTGAGAGATACGAGCTCAATGACGAAAAAGAGTGGTTCCGAGAATAATAATAAACGAGCTAGGAACGATGGTGCTTCATCAACTTTGCCACCATTTAAGGTATTGATTATTCTTAAACTTGTAGAATTAGTAAGATATGTTAGTTGTATGATTAGTTCATAGGACACATTGATGAAAGAGTTGCCTAGCTATAGCTAGGTATATATTGTACGTTATTGATTGATTGTGGGAAAATCTTTTTACCAGGTGAGGAAAGAGAAGATGGGGGACAGAATCACTGCTCTTCAACAATTAGTTTCGCCTTTCGGAAAGGTAAATTTTAATTTTAAAAATGAAGTGACCTCAAAAAAAAAATAAAAAAATGAGTACTCTGTATTATACATATGTCTTCATTTTAATTGTATTAAATCAATCTACTTTATCTTATAATAAGTTTGAATACACTATGATCGCATAGAATTACAACTGAACGGATGTATGATAAACCATATTATTACTCGATCACGTTTGATTACATAAAAGTCAACTTTACAAAAGTGCAAATCATACATGATTTGAAATGACTACACTATCATATACAAGTACATACAATACCATATATACGTTGTATACATGAATTACTCTTACACGAAATAATTATCATCTATTTTAGCTAGCCATCATTATCTCACAATAATAAAGACTACATTAATAATTAAACTTAGAAATATACAAATACCAAATTTAGGATAAAATTTGCTAGAAATCATGTGGTGCTAAATTTCCCACCGTTTCTTTCAGCTTTAATTTTTTACTTTATAGAAAAAAAGAGCTAAGCATGGCATTGATAGATGATTCATCAAATGTCATTCCTTTGTATTTCGATCAATTTTCTTGGGTCGAAAAAAGCTTACTTTTTAGGCTTTATTTTTTTGTGCACACTAATTAATATTGGTCCATATATGAATCATGGTATATTTCTTTATTTCCTTTTTTATTACCTTTTGCAGACTGATACTGCGTCAGTCCTCTCTGAAGCCATTGAGTATATCAAGTTTCTCCATGAACAAGTCAGTGTAAGTTCATCTTTTTTTATAAATAAATAAATAAATGTATAATCTTAATTAATTAGTTAATTAAAAAAATACAAACTTTGTAGGAAAATAAATAGGTCAAAAAGTGTCATATATTCTAATTTATAATAACATTTCTTTCGTGGGTTGAATAACAGGTTTTAAGCAACCCATACTTGAAAAGTGGAGGCTCCTACCAACAACATCAACCGGTATATATTCTCTATATTTTTTAATAGTAGTTTAATTAAGGAAAAAAAAATGGAAATATTTGTTTAATTTTTTTGTTCAATGATGATTGCTTTGTAATCATATGTGGGATTATGCCTTAATAATGTAGGGTAACGAAAAGGCGAAGATTGATCCGGATGGTCCGAAACAAGATCTAAGGAGTCGAGGGTTATGTTTAGTACCCGTTTCTAGCACATTTCCTGTAACACATGAGACCACAGTAGATTTTTGGACGCCTACATTTGGAGGAACTTTTAGATGAAAGATAAAGGGATCATTCATAAGAACTTATTCTTGATACGACAGTGAAAAAAAAAGGGAGAAATATACAAATCATAGACGGAATCTCCCTATGCAAGTTGAATTTGAGAGAGATTGGTCGATTGATGAGATAAATCGAGGAAATGAAAGGAAGAAAAAGAAGGTGGATTTGATGACGTTATAAGAATGCAGCCATATGAATTTGATTGTGTAGTATAGTACTAGCAAGGACATTGGAGCATGGAAAATTGGAGGGAAAAAATGTGAATATGGAAAAAAAAAAAAAAAAAAAAAAAAAAGGGAAAGGAAGATGGCTTTCAATCCAAAGGATAGAAAAAAGGGAGAATGCATGGACCATTTGGATAGCCAAGAAAAAAAAAATCATGGTTATCTTTGGGGACCAAGGTGCAAGCTAAAAGAGCTAGGACCATGAGAAAATACTCATCATCTTTGTAATAATTGCATGATTATGATTAGTTTTAATTGTTAATTATAGGTAGTGTTGAGGTTGGTAAGAGTTTCACCAACAAAGAATGTTAGAAAAGCATAGGAATTGAAGTTTATAGTATAGGATCGACCTAATTCATCTGTTAGCTTTGGATGAAGATATTAGCACTCCATAGACAGGTCGGAATTCACTCATGCGACAAGAAGATTAGCAACCGAGGGGATAAACTTATAAGTCTTGGAGTGCTAAAATCCTCATGCGATTTGTTTAAATTAATTAAAAGGTAAAACATACTACTTTCTTTTAATTTGTATTGGAGGATTTGAATATTTTTCAAATACATGCTGATCAGACGTCATTAATCTCTGACTTCTTTTTATTTATATAGCGTGTAATTTGATGCATGCGAGTATGATATATGTGGTTATACAACTTTTTATGATGACATACATGATAAAACGAGTTTATAATCATCTAAATTTATTTGTTCTTACATTTTTCTATGAAATGCACTAATTACCTTTTAAATTGCACATGTATGAAATTACTCACTTTGTAACTTATATCATGATCATAGAGATAAAAAGGAGGAAGGGAGAGATATAGGGTGATCGTTTGGAATAATTGAATTCCAGAATAGGAGAGAAAGAGAGTGAATGTGGGGGATGTCATTGGATTGGAAATCTAACTTTTAGATTTGTTTATGTGATAGGGAATATGTTAGTGGGAAGTGCTTAAAGGGGTCCACAATTTCCTACTTTTTGGGATTTATTTTTATTAAAATTATGTTCTTGTAAATTAGAGAAAAATAGTAAGGAGTAAAGTGTAATTTCCAAAGGAGCCCATCATCATCCATACTTTTGTGCTTTTCATCGAATGGTCACATTGAGGAGCGTCCATTGGAAGGTTTCATTGGAGCAAGAGGCTAATTGAAAAAACAAAGGATTTTTTTAACAATCAAAAGTTTTAGTTTGACTTCTCATCTTGGATTACATATTTTTTAAATGTATTTTGGTGCTAAGGATGGCTAACACAAAAGAAAGTTATATTATCTTCAAGTACATCTAGATTTATAAAAGTGTGTGAAGTTTTGAAGAAAAATAATTTTTGATTGCTTTGGATCAAAACCTTTGATTATAGATTATCCTACCCAAATAGCATATGCTATATGGTTATAATTAACCATGGATTGATAGGGGAGTCAAGGTGCTATAAATACCAGCTACGTTACCAAAGTATGTAACTTTATAAGCTCACAATTCAAGTAAAATTGTGACAATCTAAGATGACGTCTTAGGTCATATGCTTGTTTATTCATATATAGGAGAGATAACATCATTCAATTATTAGTTAAGGACATGTGATCCGGTCCTCAAGTGAGAGTGTTTTTAACGTTTAAGTGAAAGTTAATTAAAGGATTGCTTAAAGTTATTTGTTAAATTAGTAATACGTATGCCTAATTAAACGTATTTTCTTTTTGAGAGAGAAATAACACTACAACTAGGGGTATAAGTATTTGTATATTGACTATTATCTTAGTGCAAATTTAGATTAATAGGTGTAGTAGTAAATGCATGCAATAGAAATTTTGTCCCCTCGTCTATGCATTAATTATCCATAAACCTATTCATTGAGGCCAAATACGCTAATCAAGCACAATACACACCGAGGTTACAAAAATGAAGAGCACAAAACGTTCCATTATGCAACAAGGCAGAATACACAAATTAGCTACACTACTAGCATGCACACTTGCAGTAACCAACACTAGGAGCAAAACATTGATAGCCTTTAGCAATCTTATCTTGCAACGCTTTTCCATATATATACCCTAGATCGATCTTCGTGATTTTCATTAAGAATTCTCCTACAAACAACCCTATTTGTACATACTATATATTAAGGCCCTTCAAATCCCATATTAATTAAATGTTATATAATTCTCTATGCAATTCAAAGGCATGTTTAATTTATGTCGTTTTACTTACCTATCTAGCTATTCTTGATAGAACTTGGATGATTAATAAGATATCTAGCGTGGTTGTTGATGAGTATATAATGTAGATTTCTTGAGAGTCGAGAGTGGATCTAATCAACAAGACCTACTTTTAAATTAGGGAAGTGTACAATAATTTAAAGAGGTCCGAGTAGAGTTTCTTGGAGGAAATTGGTTTCTATAACCTTGCACCTCCAACGTTTTTACTCATGAGTAAGAAAATCCATGTAATGGAGATGAGTCTGTAGATTGATTAAAGGGAGTGTTAATCTTGGGGTCATCCTAAAGTGACTATCAATCTATTTATTGTCCCTCGTGTTTGTATTGTGGAATACTAGAACCTTATACGGAGTATTTATTTGTTCAGCTAATAAAACTAAATGCTCTATTATATGAGCCAAGAGATCAGTAGTGGTGTTTACATAAAATACCTAACTGTCAATAATTTATCTTACTTTTATACGATTGTTGTTTTTAAATATATAAAATTAAAGCACTTATATGTGTACTCTAAAGATAATATGATTTATTAATAACATATTAACTTATAGGCTACATATGGAAAATTAAATTATCAAGATTCCAATTCACCAAAATGCACCTTGGCGCCACCAAAATGGTGATATGTCACTACTATATCACTTCTGCACTCGATCAAATGATGATCGAGAATAATAGTTAATATTGATTTAGCTTGTAGACCAATTGAAATAAGATCCTCAACATGGTTAAAATATTCATGGCTGGTGAACAAATCATCAAATGTGTTCTTTGACATGGATCCCAATTTGAAGTCTTTAGTTTCTTGTACGAGAATCACCATAAAAATTCAAGTTTTCATCATCATCATCAATTTAAATGATTACATGAATATAATTAGAACATATTGATAAAAAAGGGTGCTGCTCATTTAAAATTGTATCTTGGAGCTGTTTGGTCTCTTCTTTTAAGTAGAGTAGTCGGGTTAGGCTGAGTCATGCAAGCCCACATGGCCTACTAGCGGGGCTCACTCTCAAGCAAGGGTTACCTGGAATTGATCTAAAAGAATTCGAGCTATGTCAGGCTCATGTTAATTTTTCATAAACAAAGCTCATGCACGACACAGTCCCACAGTCTATGTGTCGTCATGTCATGTTGGTTAAACCATGCTAGAATGCTCCCTGAGTAATGATGTTATTGTTCCTGAGTAATATCTTTTTGTAGATTAGTAAAAAAAAAAACATAAGTGAAGACTCTTTTTGCTCGCGCCATATTTTTGAAATGATGTTCATGCACATCTCATGGCCCACAAGCCCATTAATGTTTCTCTCATATCATACCAGATTAGGTCATTTATTTTCATATTGTGTCTAAATGTACCTCTTGTTAGCCCAGTCTATGCCCCGCTCTACTTTTAAGTGCATAACATGTTTAATTGATGTAGTGATGGTTCATTTGGAGGATTATTACATGGCCTCCCTTATACCCGGAAATAAACAATGCATTTGACAATAAAATAGAGCTATCAATTAAGTGTTTATGTACAATGTGTTACAATTTATGTGGGATAACTAATGATGGTCATGTGCATAATATTATTAATCTTGGGATGCTAATATGCTATCACTACACTTGAATGTTGCAATTTTAGCTCAATTTTTTTTAAAACGATTCTCCCTCACTTTTTCTATACTCGTGTGTACAACTGGTGAGTTGCTAAACCGCAAACAAAAAGAAAAGATGAAGCTCAAAGTCGGTAGGTAATAGGAAAAGAGAATGTTTTACATGTACAATAATTAAGAAAATTGAAAGCTTTTGATTTAAGAATCCTTTGGGATAAATGACTAATGATTAAAAGGAACATTTTCAATTTTGTTTTATGAGCAAGTAAGAATGATATGATACAATTTTATCCTACATACATCATTGTACCGTACCATAATTAAATATAAATGGACCCTAATCTACTTGATTAGTGTGTACATAGATCATACTTTACCTTCTTACAAACTTTTTCCTTTTTCTTTAAATTCTTTCTGCTCCTTAAAGGCTTTAAAGCACACATTGATGATGATTAAAAAGCATATCTCATATGGTGTACGTGTATCTAAAATCTAACCTTAGGCTTTGGAATTATAAATACCCTTAGGTACGCACAATAACAAGATTTCATCATAAAACCAAATGATAAAATAGCCTTGACAAATTCATATGTTAATCGTCCTTCCTTTTCTTTTAGAGCAAAGCCAATGGATAACCAATCTACCTTCATTCTTTTTCTTGCAATTTGAGCTGATGTACCAAGATTATAATTCACTCTTGATACCCTTGGCGAATTTCCATCAAGCCAACAAGCCTAACTTGGAAGAGAATGTGAGTATGTGACCAAAAACAATTCCAATAGGATTCCATCATAAAAGCAATTGATAATGCATGGAGCAATTTACTAGAGTTATACGACATGATAACCATCCTTCCTCTTGTCTACAATGGGATAATTAGTTCTAACTCATACATGAATTATTTTCTAACAACTTTTCTCATCGATGTGTCAAAATTGACTAACATTCAAGGTATGTTCGAATTTATTAATTAAAGCTTGAAAAAGAGAATAATATTGAGGATAGTAGAGAAGATCATGTTCATCAATCTTATTTTCAATATTGAATTATACAACCAATTAAATGAACGCTAAAGTTGAGCATGCAAGGCCCTCAAAGTTGTGCTTGAATTATGAACAAGAAAAAGGTGTGTTGTGTCGAGCTCATATCAATCTGCCATGCCTATAATCCCATATATGGCTTTGCCCACATGTCGTGCCACACTAGTGAGCACCTTAATAATTCTTAGATATGTTGTTAATTGATTAAAAATGATATTGTCTTGCTCTTGTTAGGATCACGTCAAATTTCAAGAATGATGTCTTTTCACAGCCCATAGCCTATTGTCATGTCACTTTTGTCGTGCTAGGCTTACAACGGGCTTATGTTGGGTCATGTCTATTTTGTGTATCGGGTCTAAGCTGCCAGAGTCCCACCCCAAGTCCCCAATCCATGCCTAGCTCCAACGATCACATAGCTTAGACAAATTAAAGGAAGAGAGATTGTAAGCTCAGGATATAGGTTTGGCCAATCTTACCATTTCAAAACTAATTGGGTATTCAACACTTAATTTACCAAATTTAAATTTTTTAAATGAAACTCTAATAGTCAAAGTGTTTCATCCCTTTATAATACGGAGTAATAAAAAAAAAATACTCCGTATCTTGTTTCTATCAATTAAAACACCTTTTATTATAGTAGTAGTTCTCATCGTAAATAATATATTAAAATTTTAGTGTTTATCCGTTTTCTTTTAATTGCAATGTTCTCTTTTGAAAAGTTGTAAATAT